TGAAATAAAGATATAACACTTTATTAAAGTTATAAAATTAATCAGGTCAATATTTTGGCAAGTCCACAATGTGCAATGGAATGTAATGTGTGAATTTAAAGACTCGCAAGCCAACACTTGACCAAGCTGGTATCTCTGCACAGCAGCACTGTACAGAGACGTCCTGCTGCCTTGCTGCCGTGTCAGTGCCCGAGCCAGAAATTCTGACCCTCTCAGCTCGGCTGTGTAGCCTCCAAGTAGCCTTACACTGCTATGCTTGGTACTGAAACTGGAATAGTTGTCACATTGCTCCTTCTTGTTGGAAAGGCATGTTCTCATCCTGCCTAAAGGGTGGTGCAGAGATGTTGTGTTTGTCTTTCCTGGACGTACAGTGCAAGATAATTGACTTAATGAAGGAGAAATTATCAAGAAAGAAATTCTGCTAGAGATTGGAGGCTAATTGTCAAAAAATCCTCTTCCTCTCATCATGAAAACCACACTCAACTCTACCTCCACAAGGCTTTTCTTTTAACTACTCCCTGAAATTTCGTCTACTGAAATGCTAGTGTGCCATCAAGAAAAGATAACTATGGAGGGAAATTTCAGTCTTACTTTTGATTAATTCTTTTCCTGTATCCAGTACAGGAAAATTAACATTAACATTACATTGTTAATGTAATAGGTCTGCATTCATCCACTTTTTAAAGTAAACAGAATTATGGTAGTAATCCAATTGCAAAAATTAGTCCTATTTAATTTAATAGCAAGGTACTTTTTGAAAAATTTGAACAAGCCAATGAAGCAATGAAAGGAATAAAAAAAATAACATTTATTAGGTACAACCAATATATGTCATTCTCACATTTTTCAGTTTTACAAAAAAAACGATTACCACTTTCCTTGCATTAGCATGGTATTCAAGGCAGAAGCAAGGTTAATCACAGAGTGCTACAAGGTTTGTAATCTGGCATCTTAAAACGTTCCAGGGCTGTGCAAAACAAGCAGAATTTTCTTTCATTTTGCAAGTCTACGTAAGCAAACCCAGGTGAGTAAAAAGTGTGTGAGAAAATGGAGGCTGGCATTTTGAGATGTGTTTTATTTGGTAAGAAATTGTTACATGCTTACTTTTCTGTGATGCCTGTTGTGCCATCTTGTGTCACAAGCTACTTGTGCTGAGGCTCTGTCAAGATGGCATTTGTAGCTAAAGAGCAGAAGAGCTAACAAAGAGGTCAGTGACACTAGTGTTTCATTTTAAGAAGTTTCTCATGTATTTTATAGGAGAATTTGAGACTGTTTTACTAGTGACAGGATGAGAGGAAATGGCCTCAAGTTGTGTCAGGGGAGGTTTAGATTGGATATTAGGAAAAATTTCTTTACTGAAAGAGTTGTAAAGCATTGGAACAGGCTGCCCAGGGAAGTGGTGGAGTCACCATCCCTGGAGCTGTGCAAAAAACGTGTAGATGTGGCACTTCAGGACATGGTTTAGCAGGCATGGTGGTGTGGGTTTGACAGTTGGACTTGATGGTCTTGTCCAACCTTAATGATTCTGATTCTTTCATAGGAATGGAATTGGACCACTGACTTCTAGTTTTGGGGGCTATATCTCTGGAATACAAGAAAACTGACTAATGAGAAGTCCTACGTAATATATAAGCACATATTAAAGCCTTATGTTGCAGAACAGACCATCTAACATTCTTTAAAAAGAATTTCAAGAATAAAATTGATTACTTTTTATTATTATGGCAAAGATGTTTCTGATAGCCCACAAACATTAACCTGCTTTCCAGATACAGGAAATGGCAACAAAGAGAAAGGAAGACCACAAAACTAAAGAACTGGAATTGTTAACCTTTTGTCCTGCTTTCTTCAGGGTATTCTAGAGCGCTTAGATGCTGGAGAAATTGTGATTGGAGATGGAGGATTCGTCTTTGCTCTTGAAAAGAGGGGATATGTAACAGCTGGTCCTTGGACTCCTGAAGCAACAGTAGAACACCCAGAAGCAGGTCAGTTTCACTGGGAAATGGTAATCCCATAGTGAATGTAAACATGGTTGGCTAAATAATAAATATGTAGGAACTTGTAGGTTTTTAAATAGAAGTGTTCCTTGGTACTGTAGAATTACACTGTTAAGAACAGCCTAATAACCTGTAGACCAAATGCTCATCTTACCACTTTTTCTTGCTCTAACACTGACGAAAAGCAGTTGGCTGGGTAGGAATGAGTAGTGCAAACATACAGTGATACCTCTCCAGAACGCTCTCCCAGTCTTCAATCATTTGCAGCCCAGGGACTTTTTGACCCAGATGTGGTACCTTTGTATTTAATAACATTCAGTGATTTCTCTGTCATGGATTTGTCCAGTCTGTCCTCCAGCTGATATAAAGCTTATCATTTAAAACATCTTGTGAAAAAGAATTCTGCAGTTAACTATATGTTTTGTTGTGTTCTAGTCATTCTAGGACCTTTATATTGTTATAAATTCATACAGCTTGTTTATTAATTCTTTCAGGAAAATAGAAGCTTTTATAAACATTGGAATGGAAGAGGAGTAGTTCATGTATCTGGCTCCAGTGTGAAAAAGAGAGTGATAAACCTCGTAAGAACCTAGGAATTGCAATAAACATTTAATGGAGTAACTCTCTTAAAGTGGACAGATACAAAACGAGCAATGATTCCATGCCTTCCAGCATAAAGATTATAGTGTTTAGTGTAAATAGTACAAAAGCAGATGCCGTTATCTATTTATGTATGCTTCATTACAGGAAAGCATTTGTCCTAGTATATGATGTGCTGTTAATCCCACAAGCCAATTCAGAATACCCTGGGGAAGAAAAAAATTTCTGTTTTCTAAGTGTTTGCCCTTCCAAATTAGTCTTTCCTCTATACAGGGAAAGAAGGCAGAGGAGGGGAAGGAGGAGAAAGATCGTAGCCCTCTCTATTATTGCATTGTACAGTTTACCTACTTATTCACCCTAAGCCTTCAAGTGTTACTTTGTGTAGCATGCCTAACTTAGCGTCACAGACAGCCTCAGGGAATGCAGAGCTCCAGCAAAGGTTTGAAGAGTGATGACCTAATTTGCTGACTCTCATCTCCAGAAAAGACATCCTTTCACCCCTCCCTCTGTTTCTCTCCACCTCTACCTTTGTCTGCCCCTACACATTCCATCTTACAAATCATAGCACTTATCCCATGCTCTTTATTTCCCCTTTGCTTACTTATTTTGCACCTTAAAAGCCCTTGACCCTCTCCACATGTCCTTTCAGGAAGTGCAGGTCTGAGTCCGTGGGGAATGCACGACATTGGCTTCCACAGAGGCAAATTGGCTAAACTGGCACACAGATTTGTTTTAAAAAAAGTGATCCGTAGTCATAGTTTAGAATCCAGCCTTCTAAGAATTGCTGCTGATTTGCTAGAACGTGTTGCTCATGTCTGTAACATAGTTGCAAATTTTTAATAAGCCCCTGACAGGCTATTTATAAATACACCCTTCACTGGAAATCTGTTTGTTTCTTTTCATGCAGTGTACTGCCTGCCCTCCATTACTGCTTTTTGCTCCTGCATGCTCAAGGGTCATGTTACTTTGAAAGCAGGTGTAAAGAACAGAAGGAGCAACTGGCTGAGACAGCTGGTATGAAAACCATACAACTACCAGACTTTCTTGTCCTTGTAAGGAAGGAGGGAAAATGAAGGAGATTCCAAGAATGCAGCAAGGAAGTTCAAGGCCATTATCTCCGTTACAAGTGAGAAGTTTTGCCAGACTGACAAGTTTAGAAATGAGATCTAAATATTTCTCTTCAGCCAGATCAGATATTGCTCTGTTGTGAGCAATATGCACAGGCACTTACTGCCCCCATCTTCTGTTAGCTGGAGTCTGTTTCTTTTGTGAAATGTCCAACTCATGGTGGGTAGAAATTAAAATGCAGTGTTGTACATCTGACTCCTAAAATGTGTCAAATTGTTACTAATTGTTTAGCCTCATATGTGGCTGTTATCTCCATTTCTCAAATGCTGGAGGATAACACAGCTTCAGTAACACACTGGAAAGCACAAGAAGTAAATTACAGAATGGTTTGGGTTTTTAATAGTGCAGACTGCTGTGGCTTGATAATAGTAACAGTGCATTCTGCTGGTAAAAATGATGTGCCTGGGGCTGAGTGACATTCAGGCTGATACTTAAAAGACTATTCTTTCCCTCAAAATGTAGACCCATTCACGAGTTCTTATTCATATGTGTTAGGTAGGCAGATAAAACACAATCTATGTCACCACCCTTACTCACACAAATCCCAGGTGGTGTTCTAGGAATGCAAGAACCATATTTATAGAGCACTAACCATGGGGATAAACAAATCAGGTTTATTATGGAAATGCCATAGAGCATTTGTGAAAATACTTGTAGATTCTTTTTTCCTTTTACTATTTCCTGACTAGTTTTCATCAATGACTTCTCATGGGGGAGAACAGAAAAACAGATGACAGAAACATACAGACAGCCCCTTTAGTTGGGATCAGTAGCCTGTCTTAATGCTGGTAGGAAGAAGAATATTCCCTGTACAGAGAATGTTTTGACTCTGCATAAAGGTTGTAAGACTGAAATTTGATCCTGGTAGTTTAGGAATATTCCAGGGACGTTTTGAACTGTAGCTCTGCTATAATCTGTGTTCCTGGATAGGTCTTTGTGACTGCTGGGGAAAAAAAGCATTGTGTCAAATCACAGTGCGGTTACCCAAGGCTGTAATTAGAAATGAAATACTGTATCAGCAGTGAAAAGAAAGGGACACTACACTGTTCCTTCAATGAAAGCAGACATGCTTGCATGTATGCAGATTGACTCTAGCACCTCAAACTGCTGTTTGAGCTGCTCTGGCATAGAAGGCTGTGTTTATTGCAGCTGAAGGGAGTAATTTTATGCTCACAATACATTCACACCTTTCCCTAATCACACAGATTGTCTATAGACAATGAGGTATGATAAACCAGAACGTCAGGAAAACTTTTCCCAACATCTGCCACAGAAACAGCAGTGTTCTTGTGTCTGTGTCAGGTATCTACGGAATAAATTACTCCTGTATTTTCTATAAGCTGCTGAGCATTTTAATTCTGGTTTACATAATCAGCAGTGTTCTAGAAATTGTTATGTTGTGTGGGTATACATGTAAAATCAATTGACAGCTCCTATTCTGTTCCTGCTGTAGCAATTGCAGTGTACTGCTTACAGCAATGAAGGCTGAACTACTGTTACAGAGCCTGCTCCCAAAGTCCTAATGTAGGAAATTTGTCCATTAAAAGTAATGTCAACCTGTTCTTCAAAAGAAGTGTTGGCTCTGTAGCAAAATCATCATGTGCTGACTTAACAGAAGAATTAAGTCTGTGTTGCAAGTCACTCTTCTGGAGCACAAAATCATCTTTTAATTAAATGCGCCTTTAGCAAAATAGAGTTTGGGTTCTGGCTGACTAGACTCAGCTAGAGCTTTGTACAGGGAGAAGAACAGAAAATACAAAATAGAGGAGGTAATGGCACACTGTATTCTTCCATACAATCTTGTCCCTTAATTTGTTGCCATGATACTTTCTTCTGTTTTCTTCTTCATAGTCTAGCAGCTAAGAAAACATGGCTTTTTCATTTGATAATCTTTTTGTCTGGTATTCCGTGTTATGCTTTCACGTTCTTTTGTCAGATGTCTACTTTCCCTTCCTAAACCACTATGCAGTTCTGTAAAATGAAACTGGGAGGTCTGAAGGACAGCAGAAGGTACAATATAGGCAAGGTGGCATGCAAAACTGAATCTACTGATGAACTAAACAGAAACCTTCAGTCATTCTTAGCAGAGAATAACTAGAGAAAGTTTTCTACTTAATGTTCTTAGAGTGAGATGAAAGAAATTCTATGCAGACTGGGGTACTGCTCCTACTCTTATAATGGCTCTTCTAGTAAACAATGTCACTTATTTTACAGCAACATTACTTCAACAACCATTTAATTTTGGGATAACAACAGTAGTAACTGTACCAAACATCTCTTCTTTGCCTCTTTTAATTCTTTGCAGTTCGTCAGCTTCACCGGGAATTCCTCAGAGCCGGATCCAATGTTTTGCAGACATTCACGTTTTATGCCAGTGAGGACAAACTAGAGAACAGGGGCAATTATGTAGCTGAGAAAATAAGTGTGAGTAAAACTCTGTTTTGATGGAGATATGAAATAAAGGGATTCATTTCAAAAGGTTTAGTAGAGAGATTATTGAACACTTTCATAGTTTGTCATAACAGTTTTGTCTATATTTGAAGACCAAAGAATGAGGTGATGCAATTTTAGATTTTGGAATAGCAAGAAAGATAAGGTTAAAGGGCAAGAAAATAACAAGATGGGGCAAGGATGAAGGGAGAAAAGAGGATGCCCACATTGTATTTCTCCCATCTGAGGAGATTAGTTTACTGGAGTTCTGATACAAAGAGTATAGGAGGACTAAATGCACAGAGACCAAAACCAGTGAAGAACAGAAATGCTTTAACATCCAGAGAAAAAAAATAATTCAAAAATGGCGAAGAATCCTAGAGAATAATGAGTGGCTAATGCAGACAGAATGTTTTTTACAACCATGTCTTCAATAAAGTAACAACTAAAAAATCCAAGGCATACACTGCAGTCAATATTCCCCTTCTCATGTGTAGGAGTAATTGGTTACAGCAACAGAAGTACCATGTTGGTGTTTTCTCACCCTCTACACAAAGGGGTTGTAGGATGTTGGGTGTGTTCACTAGATATAGGCCAGTTCCACTGGGACTTCTGGCACAAATGTTTCTAGACAGTTCCTTTGAGACTAGGTTTGCCATTGAGTTTTCTCTGATTCCTTCCCCTTTGGTCCTATTGTCTATGTCAACCTCTGCAAAATAGAGACGATTCTCCAGGGAGCAGGGAGGAAGGTATATATTTGTATCTGTGAAGATAACCCAAGTCAGAAATTAGAACAGTCTGGACACTAGGGAAGCACTTGAGGCTTGATGAAGAGGTCATACCAAAATGTCATATGACAATTTATCTGAAATGCCGTACCTTTACGTTGAATAGATGCAACATTGAAATGTCTGACGTGGTAGCTCTGGAACAAGCCATGCTGCAACTCTTGCTGCCACGCAAAATTGTAAGAAGGGCCCGGAGAGCACCTGGTATTGGGAGTGCATTGCAGCAAAACTTTCAAGATTGATTTGCTGCCAGTTCTAGAAGCAGGTTCCTCCAGGTTTTAGCTGGTTTATGGCTCCACCTCCCCGCTTTCCCAAAGATGTACCTGAGCACAATTGCTAATGGAAGACAATCTGTCAGAAATAGCTTTAGAAATCAGTTGGGTCTTTTGAGGCAGCCATGGAAAACTTCAGCTGAGAGAAACCTGTGTAGATTCTAAGTAGTCTGTGGGCTGCAGAGAAACCTGCTCTAATCAGTACTTGTTATCTATCCCAAATAATGATTCTTTTCCCAGAGTCTTTTTTGCCCATCTTAACTTCTTCTCACAAGCTGTTGTAGTCATGCTGATTTAGGTACAGAGGGAATGTGTCTTTCAGTCTAGGTGAATAATTAGTGATATAGTGGTAAGTTTTCTTTTACTGTTCTTGAATTGGTAACTTTAAACTTCAGATAATTAATGATACCTGTTTTTAAAATGCCTTAACTCCATATGAATATTGTATCTTAAATTATGAAGATCATCAAAATACTAAAATACATTAAAAAAAGAAAATTGAAATTTTGTTTTCCACCCACAAAATGGCAAAAGAAAACCATACACGTAGGTATAACTAACTTAATTTCTAAGAAGAAAAGAAAATTTCACTTCACACCAAATATTTGCTTTTTATAGGCTATTTGTGTAAGAGGAATTAAGGTAATATGATAACTGAGATGTGGCAAGAAATTTGTTTCCTAACATTTGTTATTTTTTTGAAAGATGCTGATCTTCCTAATCAATATTATTGAAAAATCCACTGAAATGATAAAAGAATATGAAGAAGCCATTGTGGCTTTTGACTCTTTTTGTCTTTTTTGTGCCCTGAAATTACATGCAGGTATAACTGACATAATCTATATTCATACAGGGCCAGAAAGTAAATGAAGCTGCTTGTGACATTGCAAAAGAAGTGGCTAATGAAGGTGATGCTTTAGTGGCTGGAGGAGTTAGTCAAACACCATCATACTTAAGCTGCAAGGATGAAGCAGCCGTTAAAGCAGTCTTTCGAAAGCAACTAGATGTCTTTATGAAGAAGAATGTGGACTTCCTAATTGCAGAGGTAAATCTGTAAAAAAAAGTACGTGTCTTCAACTGGCACAGTGTTAACTTTTAGATGTCCAGTCTACTTCAGGGAGTACAAGTATATATTGCTTCTTCCTTTAAAACTTTCTGTTATGCTTTTATTTCAGTAGTATCAGGTATTTTTCTAAATGCACAGCAGCATCTGCAAGTGTCATAGAATAAGATCATGAAACAAAAACTTCTATCTCAATCAAGTCAAATTCTGTATGGTACAAAGAGGATAGATTAATGTGATCTTGACTAGTTCTTGTTTCCTCACACACACTGTAAGCAATCAACCTAAAATGACCTTTCTAGATGAAAATAGTTTTTTTGGGATAAATCCCTGATTAACTTCCTGCATGGGCATTCTTATTCTGAAACAAAAGTATCATTTTTTATTTAGTTTTACTTAGTGGCTTTTTAAAATCCTTTTTTAACTGTGTGGTCAGTAAATGCAATTGAATTCTGTTAGTGTAAATTAGAAAAGAATCAAGTTGTATTTCTGGTGAATTTGGGGTCTAGATTAACGTGTTTATGCTTCATCTCCAAAAAACAGAAGTAGTCCAGTTTTAATTTCTTTCAGTATTTTGAACATGTTGAAGAGGCTGTCTGGGCAGTTGACGTTCTAAAAGAATCTGGAAAGCCAGTTGCTGCTACGATGTGCATTGGTCCGGAAGGAGACATGCATGGTGTGCCCCCTGGACAGTGTGCTGTCCAACTGGTAAAGGCTGGTAAGAATATGTTTTAGTATGCCTTTTAAAAGTATGGAAAAAGTAAAGTCATTAAGTTCTGAGATAAATGGATGTGTATGTCAGGTAGGTAACTTCCCGATTATATGATAGAAGTTTTGACCCTATAGAAAAGTTTTGATGTGTACTTTACTAGAGCAGTCTTGTAAAAAACACATGAAAATACAGCTATGAAATCCTTGTTAACCAGGCTGGTATTAGGAGCGATAGCCACAGGCAGCGGATAATGAATAGTGCAAAATCCTAAACCTACTCAAATTTGGTTACAGAGCCAACCCCAAATTCTGGAAACATAAACAGAATCCAAAGTCACCTTTGATTCTCTCTTCATGTTTTTAGAAAAATGTGGAGCACAGTTCAAACCCAGGATGAGAGAATAAGAGGATGAAAAAATTAATTTTTTTGCCTATTGAAGGCTGTGTTTTCTGCAGGACAGGGGGAAGGGCAGAAGAAATTGATCAGGGGCACGATGAATGATGGTACAGGGATTTATTATATCTGTTCTGAACTACTCTTTTCCTTTGGAGTTAGAGTTGAAATCCAAAGGTAGAACCTGTGTTAGGAACCTGCTAGCTATTTGCATATGTGGCTGTACATAATCAGTCCTCCTTGATTAAGCACTGACAAGAAAAGCAACGGTATGAGGGTAGAAGATGTGATTCATCATCAGGAAGGTAAAGAGGAGTACAACAGAGATGTAAGTGGAATCATCAACCTCAGGAGAGTTCAGGCTGGCTCTAATTCAGCTGCCTTTTTTTCATAATGTTGGTGTACAGATGGACTGCTCTGCTTCTGGAGTGCTGTGGCTAAGCACTTTCACCTCCCACTTCCTGGAGAGATGTAACTTGAAGTTATTGTCCTCCTCCTAGGTGCTTCTATTGTTGGAGTCAACTGCCATTTTGATCCAAATACTTGCCTGGAAACTGTGAAACTGATGAAAGAGGGCTTGCAGGCTGCTAAACTGAAAGCCCATCTGATGTCCCAGCCACTTGCTTTCCATACACCTGATTGTGGAAAGCAAGGTTTTATTGATCTTCCAGAATTTCCCTTTGGTAAGACAACAGTATCTTTTTTTTTCTTTTTTTTTTTCCTTTATTGTTTGTTCCTTTCTTTCCCAGCTTTTAGTAATGCTGAAGCTGCAAGTTGTCCTTCTATGCAATAGGATGAATCCCAATTATTCTGTCTGGCATTTTCCATAGAGGGAGTGCAGTGTAATATTGGATTAAAGATCACCCACCAAATGAGAGTACTTCAGCAGTATCACAGTGTGTGACTGAAAATGAAACTATGATGGAAACAGTTGAAGTGGCACAACCTAAACTCAGTTAAACAATGTAGTTCTTCCTTGTGCTATAGAACCTTGTTCAAGACAGCTATAAGCAGTCCAAAGAAATGAACAAGAGCAAATACACTAAAAAATCCCCAGACTTAGATGCTTTTGCATTGGAGCTCCCCAGCATTCTGAGTTGTGACATATATCCCACAACACCTATAATGTTTACCTACATAGGGATGTAATGTACAATGCATACGGAGAACTGGGTATAGGGGCATGATTATTGCACTCATAATGGTTCAGTCTTGCAAGTGTAACTGTCTCATAGAAGTGAGATTAGAGAGAAACCAGAAGAGGGAATATGTTCTTTGATGTTGCTAACAAATGGATCAGCAGCTTGGGGATGGATTCATCACATGTATGCTCAGGAGAAATTCTACAAAGACTGAAAGATTCAGCTACTTTATGTGTGTATGAGGCTTGTGTATTTAGGGCTTATTTCCACCAAGGATGTAGAAGATCACATGCCTTTAATATAATAGAACAAAATCAGCCTAAACATATTTAAATTTATTAGAAAAATTCTTTCATTTTTAGGTGTCATACACTCTTCTTTTCAAGATCAGACTATAAAGTAAGGCACTAATACATTCAAAACTTGAATTTGTAGAAAAAAAACTTGAGATAGATGTGATTTTCAGGAACCTTTTTTTCAAATTCCTGTTTTTACATAAACAAAGGAAAGAGCATAAAGCATGAGCCTAAGGCATTCATTAAATGATAATAACATGTCTGAGTTCTGAAAATGTTCTGGGATTTTTAAAAGTGTTAGGAACTCATTTACCCTATTCATTCCTTCACATAACTCCTCTGATTGCAAGCAAAAAAAGATCAAACAGATGTAGTAAGTAATCAAGTGAATTGAAGGATTCATTCTGGTTTGTTGTGGTTCTTGGCTTGTATGCTGTAAGCAATCTGTATGAGACCTCAGCTTTCAGAAATTTCATGAGTCAATTGGAGAAGGCTGGTTCTATGAATGTTTTCAATACATAGAAGGAGCAACTGATAAGCAGTTTGGTAAATCATGATTAAACTGACCTAGTTGACTCTGGTTTTGTATAAGGCAATAAGCACAGAGGTATTTAGATATTTAAAGCATACAAAACCTCTGTACAGGCCAACAAGATCTCAGTTTCTGGAAAAGCATTTACTGTGTTACACTGGCAAATTTCAGCACCTAGATGACAGCAGTATTTCTTTGTCTGTAGATTTTTTTGCAGTTTTCTGTGTTTTCCATTCTGTGTTACTGCAATTGCTCTGAAATGTCACTAGTTAAGCAAGGATAACATTTTAGAAAGAAAGGTCCTGGTCAGTCAAAGCATACCCAATCATCTCGAGACTAGATATATAGAGGGGTTAAATCTAGGAGCAGGTTACAGTCTTCTCATAAACTGATGAAAATGTCAATCTTTTTTACTACAGATGTTAACATAAACTATTAAGCTACAGATATTTAATTCTGAATAAAGCCAAGAAAGGAAATGCATTGACAGGCATGGAAAATAGAATGTTAGTCAATTTTGGCAAGGGGAAAATCCCACAAAATGTAATCTATGTGGCAACTTCTTTTCATAGAATACTGCTTGTTTTCAATCACTATGTTTCACCACATGTGTGAATGGTTCTCATGGTGGGGTCTATCCCTGTTTCTTCAGAGAGGTGAGGTTGTTGATGTCCTTACACTCCTGAAGCACAAAGACTAATTCATAAAATCATAGAATGCTTTGGGTTGGAAGGGACCTTAAAGATCATCTATTTCTAACCCCCCTGCCATGGGCAGGGACACCTTCCACCAGACCAGGTTGCTCAGAGCCCCGTTGAGCCTGGCCCTTAACATTGCCAGGGATGGGACATCACAGTTTCTCTGGGCAACCTGTGTCAGTGCCTCACCACCCTCATCATAAGAAATTTCTTCCTAATATCTAATCTAAATCTTCTCACTTTCTGTTTAAAAATGTTGCCCCTCATCCTATCACTACACTTCCTGATAAAGAGTCCCTTCCTTTCTTTCCTGTAGGCCCCCCTCTTTCAGTACTTCAGGTACACGACTTCTTTGGCCAGAGTGTTCAGTGCACAGACATCATGCTTGCACTCACCTGATAGCCATGCTGGTTCATTTATGTATATGCAGATGTACATAAAAAGTGGGAGGATTTTTATTCCTTTATTCCTGTATTTTTGTTCCTTAAAGTTTTTTCTTCAGTCCCTGGTCTTTTCTTTCCAGTTCTGCTACTCTTGTGCCTCCTTCCCTTTGAGGTGTGCTTTTCCTTGTTCTTTTCACTTTCTATTCCTTTCCTTCCACAAGTCCTTCCTCTCAGCTCTGTTATTCCTTCACTCTGCTCATCATTGCATCCTAACTTGTCTACACACAGAACTTTCCACAAGGTATGAAGTGGTTTGAGGCAGCAGGCTACTTATGGCTGAGATTATAAGTAAGTAAGGGATGGGCTAAGAAATAGCTGCAGATCCCAGCTGTCAGTGACACAGCTGGCTGTCACTAGCTGATCATGGAAAGAAGTGTAGTAAGCATTCCTGAGGAATAATGAGCAGGCTTATTCCTATTGCAAGTAGGCTGATACCTTCTCCCTTCACAGATTTCCCAGGTACTGATTGTTTATTAGGAACTGTTTGGAAACGCAATGTAACACTGAAAGTACTCTAATACTCCAGCAAAGAACTCTGGCAGAATGGCAAGCATGCGACTTAGGGCTTGATCAGCTGAGAAGATATTAGGTGCTGTTTTGGAAGGCCAAAAAAGCTTACAACAAGCACAGCTCAGCAGAAGACAGCAGAATCTGAAAGTTAGACTCTGAAAACGTGTGTCATTAATTCTAGCTATGATAGTTCAAACATGTACATCTGCACCTACAACCAGTTTTGCAAGCAGTGTGCAAGTGTTTCAACAACGTGATTTCTTACCAAAAAATTGTGCTGAAATGTATCATGGTGGAAACTTAAGATATGAATGTCTTTGTAGGTCTGGAGCCAAGAATTGTAACCAGATGGGATATTCAAAAATATGCAAGAAAGGCCTATGACTTAGGAATTCGTTACATTGGAGGTTGCTGTGGATTTGAGCCATATCACGTCCGAGCAATAGCAGAGGAGTTGGCTCCTGAAAGGGGATTTTTGCCAGAAGCTTCTGATAAACATGGTAGTTGGGGCGATAGCCTGAGCATGCATACCAAACCCTGGGTCAGAGCAAGGTATGTATATCTGACCTGGAAAGCACACTAACATATTCCTTGCAAAGGCTTATATTGGTCCATACAGCAGACTGGTTTAACTGATATGCAGGTCTAAATATTGCTGTAAACATTCTCTATGTGTTAATAATTTTGAAGAATTAAATCTGATCTGGGAGCAGGGAAAGGGGTGAAGGGGCAGTAGGAGAGCTCCCGAAATTCTCATCCTTCTTTAAAATGAAGATTTGGTCTGAATTAATGTGAAAGTAATTCATGAAAGTTAAGATAAAAAACTGACAGACTGCTGTAAAACAGCTCCTCATGGTGAGTGGCTTACAGCGTCCCTTTCAAGAATGAAAATGTACTTCTTAAGTGTGTAGCATTTCATTGCATGCTTTCATTCATACTTCTGAATCTAAATATAAAGTCAGTGTGAGTTAAATGACCCTTTGCAATGGTCATTTAAGCCACATTTCCTTTACTATTGTGAGGTGCTGGAAATGAATGTGAATTTCCTTGTCTTTCTTTAGGGCAAGAAAAGAATACTGGGAGAATCTGAAGCCTGCTTCTGGAAGGCCATATTGTCCTTCAATGTCAAAGCCAGATGGCTGGGGCGTGACAAAAGGAGCCAGGGAGCTGATGCAACAGAAAGAAGCAACCAGTGAACAACAGCTGAAAGAGCTCTTCCAGAAACAGAAGTTCTAATCCACTGCACTTATGTATGTGTTAGAATGATTTAACTACAGATCATCTCATGCTTCACAAAAAAAATCTGTGAAGATGTGTACCCTGTTGATTTATCAGTTTATATGTAATGGAAGAGACAAAATGCAGAAAGAATGTGATCATAGATTAAATATGCCAGACCTTGATAATAAAATCTTTCTCTGGATAAATAGTTTAGAGAACACAGTCAGAAAGAAGTTTGGATTCTCATAATAATTGAGCTTCTGTTAGCTAGGTGCCATTAACTAGGTAGACACAGAAATACATGGAAGGTAATAATTTGCTCAACTCACCTGTAGAAAGAGAAAAAGCCATCTATAAATATGATATTAATGGACTTCCACTCCTGAGTCTATTTTGTTGAGGACTGCTTCAAACACACAAGCTGCCAATGCTTCAGACACAGTTATCTGTAGTCATGTTCATGACTTCAAGAGAATAAAAATAAACTGGAAAATACATCTTATAATTGGAATCAAAAGATAAGGAGAATGAAATCTCGCAGGAATTTCTTATATGCAGGAGAAAGGTTGAGAGAACTTTTAGGAAAGAGAAAAGGACAGGTAAATAACTCACTGCTTTTGTCTCAGGGTACCATGTATACAAGATTTGCTCCTCTCGAGACTAAAAGGCTTAAGAAATTATTTTGAAACAACAAAAAAGAAAGTAATATAATAGAATAGTATTGTATTATCTTCACAGCTTAAACCATGACAGCTCAAACAGAATAACATACCTCCAGTAAACAACTAATTTTCAAATGATCCAGCTGATTTCTGGAAATCTCAATGGAAATACTTGGTTATCTCAAAATAGCACTTAAAAACTGAAACTTCCTAAAATATAACTCCTGTTTATAAGAGTAGAAGAACTTTCCATGATTTTTTTTTTTTAAGCTGACTGATTCACTCTAGAATCTTAGCTATAAGAAGATATGAAAAACTATGTTAGGCAATAGATCGATCCACCTAAGTTGCATTGATCTCCACAAGCTTAACATGAGTGAACAGTGTGCTGCTGCAGCAAAGACAGCCAACAGGATGCTGGGTTGCATCAACAAGGGCATCACCAGCAGAGATAAAGAAGTCATTATCCCACTCCGCTCAGCACTTGTCAGGCCACACCTGGAATATTGTGTTCAGTTTTGGTCCCTGCTATGCGAAAAAGATGTGGACAGGCTGAGAGGGTCCAGAGAAGGGCCACAAAGATGATCAAAGGACTGGGACCCCTGCCATATGAGGAAAGGCTGAGAGAATAGGGTTTGTTCAGTCTTGAGAAAAGCAGACTTAGGGGAGACCTCATCACCATCTTCCAGTATTTAAAGAGTCGCTACAAAGAAGATGGAGATTTCATTTTTACAAGGAGCCACATAGAAAAGGTGAGGGGTAATGGGTACAAGTTACTCCTTGGGACATTCCAATTGGACACAAGGAAAATTTTTCACAATAAGACCAGTCAGCCATTGGAATAATCTCCCCAGGGAAGTGGTGCCTTCCCCAATATTGGACAATTTTAAGATTCAGCTGGACACTGTGCTGGACCATCTTGTCTAGTCTGCTCTTTTGCCAGGAAAGGTTGGAACAGATGATCCTTGAGGTCCCTTCCAACCTGCTATTCTATGAAGTTAAGAAAACCCATGGACATTGCACATTGAATTTGTTGAGAAGGATTTTTCTCAGGAAGGGTATCACTACACCTGGAATCCATAAAGGACACATTTCTATAGTTTATTTTTGTGAACTACCATACAACTTAGATTTCTCTCTAGAATCTCATTCCCACCCATTCTACATTAAAGCCAGTACCTTTATAAAAGTATCATTATCAAAGTTAACGTTGAAGGCTTTTGTTGGACTACTTTTTGTGTATAAGCTTGTTTTCATTATTTCTACCCATGTTGACATTCTGCAGTTCAGGAAATATTTAAATATGCAACACTTTAATGGAAAACCTCAGGTATCTTTTTCAGAGTGTTATTGGCAGATTTTAGAAAAAGCCATCTGCCTTCACCAAGGTTATAATAAATTGAAATAGTTACTAGCTGGAAATTTTGCCTGAAAGCCAAAAGTAGACAAATTGAGAAAGTAGGTATTTTAAAGTGTAGATTATTTGGAAAGCGTCCATGTTAACTATATATGCACTACATTAAATTCATTTCCTTCCTAAACCCCTCTGGACATTCGCCCTGGAGAAAGTAGAGTAGTGCAAAATCTGTAAAGCAAAAGAGACAGATCTTTGATCACCACCAAAATGCATGCAGCATTAAAGATGCATGCATGATAAAGTGGCTTAAAATACAAGTTACGATTCATAAAGAAGTGTTTTGAACAATCATTACTAGTTTAGGGACTTCCTTGCCAAAGGATGCATCATACTCTATATAAAGCAGCTGGACTGCTTATTTTGAAGCTGTACAAACATGCAAAAATTTGTACTGAAGTGAATGAGTTTACTTCAAAACACAGAATACTGAAGAACCATGGCATTTAAGAAGAAGACAAAATATGTCTTTAAGCATTTATTTGTAGACACCCAGTTGAAAAAGGATGAATTTTAAGACACTAGCAATGATTAGAAATATTTAAGAGGCTATTTGAAGCCAGTCAAAATGAGAGTTGACCCTGTTTGATTCATATCACAGGATGGATTTAGAGAGAAATTGACAGTGGGATTAAAACAAGTTGACAGGCTGTTTTATTGATATCTGCAGTAACTCCAAACTATCAGAGAAACACCCCAACACACATAACCCTCAAAAAACAAACCGAAAAACCCCTCACCCAAGCAGCCAAGCCAACAAAGCTTTATTTCCCATTTCTTTCTGTGTAATATCTTAGTGACAGGTAAGGGACCTGTTAGATTAATTAAAGCTTTCTAATGGTTTTAATAACCATGGCTTCTTAAGAAAGTAAGACAGGCTGACAGCAGAATCCCAGGAAATTTGTTTCCTTAGAAAGCCTGTCTGAAAACTTAGACAGGAAATGAAAGGGCTTTAGAAGGTCAACTCTTGTATTTAGTACCCCAAGGCAAGATCAGCTATTTCATTGGGGAAGACATTTTTTTAACCTGTTTGGAAACACATCTAATGATGGAGCTTCCCTGCCAACCCCAGGCAGTCTGGTTATTTCTTCTTAACAAATCTTTCCTAATTTGAATATTCCTTAATGGAATTTAAATCCATTCTTTTTTTCCAGCTCATTACAGACATGAAGAATTTATTGCCTTTATCTTTGCTGAAGTCTTTCATACATTTGAAAATTTACACACATTCCTTTTTTCTCTCTCAGCTGAACAGACCCTGTTCATTCAATCTTTCCCTGTGGCTTCTGAGTCTGTGATTCATCATAAACTCAGAGCTCATCTCCATCAGATCTTTTTCTAGGGCTTCACATCTCTATGGCTTTTTTTTTTTTTTTTTTTTATTTACCTGCAAGCAGAATTGAAGAGATCTGAACTTTGGAAATTCAGATCCAGAAGAGAAAATCCAACATCTTTGCTATCTAAAGAATAAACCTTTATGCACTAGGCTGAATGCCAGGACAAGAGGGGTCTGAACAAACCATAAACTTCAGAAACTGTATACAAGCTCTGTGCCGCACACGAGAAGATGGATACATTTTCAGTCAGCTCCGAAGTTTTATAGAACTCCATGCCAGAAAAGGCCTATAAACCTGCTGTTTAATGGTCAGGTGTTGGCCTGTAAACTGCCTGATTACAGGTGTTGGCCTGTAAACTGCAGAAAAGCAAGGAGGGGTTTTTTATAAAGAAGAATGAAAAAAGGGTTTTCTAGGAATCCCACAAAATATGAAATCTCCACATACCACATATTTCTTCCTAAAGCGGTTTATAGCTCATGCCTTCTTTTTCAATTCTACAGACAAACGCAGTGGCAGGTTCAGTGACATTTTTTAACCTACGCATTAAAAGAAGTGGATTCATATATCTGTCTTGTTCTACATCGTTGACTTTATAAAACATTGAACATAAACTAATCTCATTTCATCCTGCAATGCATTGAATTGTTTTAAGTATAGACATCATTGAAATAGGATAGGCAGAATGTGATATACATTATTTCAGCATTTTGTGTTATTACAGAATTCTTCATTACCTTCTCTTTATGTTCCACTTTATTGAGAGAGATGGTATCTGGCATAAGTTTTATATGAATTATCCACCTCCACTAGATACGATTTCACTGAACTGCGATACTAAATTTGGTGATTGGTGTATACCTCTGTATGTACACAACTCAAAGAGACTACAATCAATTACATCCAAACTTTAGGAACCTGAAGATGGAATTTCCATATATTTTGGTCAATTTCACCTCAGAGCTTCTGTGTCCAGTACAGTTGTAAATCTGAAAAGAAAATCAAATTTGATTAAGAGGACTCGATGCAATCAGAGTGGAGGGTAGTTGCTAAGGAATTAGTTTCAAAGCAGACTGAAGAAATAGGGAATAGGGAGAAGAAGCACGGTTCTATCTCACAACTAACAAAGCAACAGCAAACATGCATCGAATCAAACAAAGCTTTACAAGCTGTACCAGTTATCGATGGGTGGTTTAAGAGTGTTTTGTAGCATTCATTTGCAAGTATTTGCACAACCTCATTTCAGAGCAATTTAAGAAGAGATCCAGTGACAAATGAAACATGGCAGGGAAATTGTCACAGGCAAACAAGCCCCACTTTGCAAGTCACCTGTTTGCAAATGAAGAGTGCTAGAAAGACACCAAACCTGTTCAGCCCAGCAGGCTAGTCTTTGCCTTTTGGCAGACAGGGTAACAAGCTTTATAGCAGGTGTTATGCAAAATCCCTTGGCCAATCCTTATTTCTAATCAAACAAACAAACAAAAAAAGTAGGGCAGTTCCACTCAAGAGAAAACAAGGATAAAAAGTCTGTACTATTCTCCGGGTCAAGCAGCAGTGTTCTTCTGCCACATTTGGAAGAGAGGTCTTTTCCTGTAAAAGAAAGGCTTGTATGCAGGAAAGTTTGCATGTTCTTTTCAATTATGTGAGCTGTCCTGCTGGAAGATCCTGCTGGCTCTACCTACAAACTTTTCTGTAAAATGGCATTTCTCAGTAGTATCACAGTGCTACAGCTTCATGGAAATACAAAGATACGTATTATTAAGGCAAAGGCTTTTTAAAAATATTGTTTCTCAGTA